TCGCCTGGCGCGCTGAATACCGCATGGCTTACGAAGTCCAAGAGAGGGCGCGCCGGCATGGTCGCTCAGAGAAGCTCGTCGCCACTGGTCTAGCCATCCACACATGTGTCTTATGTGTGGGGGTGTGTCTTTTTATTTCATCCTGCTATGCTTCCTGGCTCAACTGCTGCTGCGAGAAGGCACCGACCAAGAAGGTAAGAACATATTAGCTGCAGAACGTTCTATTTTAAAGTAGAATGACGAACCCAGGGAGGGGGGGGGGGCAGTGGTTTGTATGGGGGCACATGCCCATTAAGTAGACGGACACAACTAATGCCCCTTGAAGAAAACTCAGTCCCAAAGATGCACCTAAATTTTTGTTGCTTGTTACAGATTTTCTGAACAACCGCTTTCATGGGTTGTGAGTCAAATAACCTGATCCGCTATTGAAGAAGCAAGTTCATCTTTTTATATAAAATGTTACACATCGGATTTGGAAGCAGCGCTTCCATGGGCATGGCAGGAGATCGCAAGTTGAACATAGTTTCATAGAATGAAAACTTAATCCTCAACATTTACCGTTAATCTCATATCTCCCCAAAATACTTACATTGAATAGCAAGTCGTACATAAATATTCATACAACGCTCGAAAAAGACAGGATCTCTGCCGACAGAAAAGAAACGTGGACATTATAGGGTCTCTCGAATGTTTTGCCCAGACTTAAAATAAATAAAGAATACAAAGTTATTGTATTTCATTCATCTTTACCCAGTGTACTTGATTTTAACCTACATGTAAAACAACGTGCGTCTTATGTTACCACAGTAACTAATCATTCTCTCTCATTCATCCTCATCTCTCTCTCTCCCTATATTTCTCTTTCTCCTCTTCTCCCCTCTCTTTCCTTCTCTTTCTACCCCTCTTTTTCCTGTTACTTTCTTTCTCTCTCTCTCTCTCTCTTTCTTACCACTCTCCTCCCCTTGGCTGCTATCTCTCTGCAGGGTTATGGTCTCGCTCTGGAACCCGTACGAGTCGCCCACGGGAATTCCCCTAATCGTCATCGGGAAAACCCCTAGGCTAGTAGGGGAATCTCCCCCAAAACAACGTCCACGACCATCAACAATGTCCTTAAATGATCTATGACTAATGTTGGCATCCCATGCTGAAGACACCATCAACTCTGATAAATGCATGGTGGAAATACAAATATGCATCCGTTCAGAACCAAGAGGGCGCTAACTCATGGATAATGATAGGCCTCACATTATCAGACCGAAGTTGCAAAATAACCCGCTATTTTGCGCCTTTATCAGCCCGCAGTTGCGATTAGCGGGCTATTTTGTCGAGAAAATATCCCGCGAAATCTTGGTCTTGTTTCCTAATTAGCCCGCTATTTGGGAAATAGCGGGATAATTTGCGCCCGTCCGAGCTAATTGTGATGAGCGTATATTTGGTGAAGGCGCAATTTCGTGCTTCGGAAAAATATCCCGAGTCTGAAAATAGCGGGTTATTTTGCAACTTTGGTCTGATGAGGACAGGCCTTCTGAGTTAACATCCTTCTGACTCTCAACATACAAGGGGTGGATATGTAATAGCCTACTTGCATGATGGAGGAAACAAATATTGAATGTGTATCAATCACCTAAAGCCTTTTAAACAATGAGAAAACGATTATCGTTAATCAGCTTGGTCCAAACTTGGGTTCGCCCATCAGCTGACAGTTTTCTTCCTATAACTATTATTATTAACATTATTATTTGCAAAGATCGAGCTACATCCATGATATCAGGAGCTGTAAACAGATGCTTTAAATATTATAAAAGGTTGAACTTTCTTTTAATAGCAGTGTTTAGAGAATAAATTTTGCGATCAACAAATGTTTTGTTTTTCTTCTAAATTTAAATTTGTTATCTCTACGATTGTGAAAACAATTATCTTTTTAGATCTAGGTTATGATCGATTAGTGAGTTATGAATTATATTATTAGACGCATTGCAAAATATTACTTTGTATTATATTAAAAAAAATATTAGACTTTGCATACTTGTATATTTGAAAGCAATTTTGTTCTCCCGCTTTGCTGTCATACGTTTAATGAATGTATATGCTTTGAAATATTAGGATCAAAACGGTAGAGAAATTAAAATAAAAAAAATATAAATTAAAACAAAAATAGGATAAATCGCCATTTATTTAATTGTTTGTTTAAACAAATATTGTTGTTGTTTTCCATTGCAGTCAAATTATTATAACACAACTTGGAGTATATTAATGTATTTGGAGTCACTTTAAATCATTTAAATCCCTTTAAGTCACTTTCCCAGTCAAAATGCAAAGGTGATGGCGTACAGTTTACGAATAGGATAATTACGGGGAAAATTAAATGTATAAAATGCCACGTCGAAATTGCTTTTTTGACGTTTTCATCATACTTCTTTGTTATTCTAGTCTATTTTATGATCACTGCACTCTTTCTCTATTTTATTTTTTGTTAGTAGATGTTACATTATATTTTGCTCTATCTTGCTGCACTGACATCATTCATTAATCACGTATATCGTCAGACTCAACTTCAGAAAACCGAGCTCGGAAAATTACGTGGAATACAGCGAATAGCGCTCAGTAAATACAGCGCCGTTAACGTTCACTGTGAGGCAGCCTGTACACAAGTCATGGTTAAAATCCTTTCGAAATCACACTGATATCAACAGCAGTTTGACTTTGATGATCTTCCTCATGACTCGTGTACACATTGCCACGGGGGGGGGGGGGGGCACTACAATACTGTGCGTTATTTGCTGTTTTATGGAGTTCGTGCCTGTATTCGGTTGTCCGAAATTGAACGGTTCCCCATTCTGTGTATATAATTATTACCTTATAGTGAAGAGCTTTAAATAAACTTTCCTCATGAGAAGAGTACCATCGTTTATGATCGTCTCGAAGTAATTTGCTGAAAGTGGAGAATAGATAGTTACTTAGTAATATATGACAACACACACCATACTATAGAGAAGGACTGAGAAAGAAAGAGCGACAGAAAGATAGACAGATACATGTAGAAAGACATGCCAGAGGGTGAGTAAGAGAGATAGAGAGAGCGCGAGAAAGAACTGGGGTGTGCGAGAGAGAGAGAGAGAGAAAGAGCACAAAGATTAGACTGCGGATATACCGCTGTCTCAAACCTTTCAAACTACATGTAGTTCCACCTTCTTTTCCCCTTTTTTTATGCTATTATTTCAAAATTTAAATCAAATTTAAATCAAATTTATTGGCCTTCTAAGAATTACAGTGCTGTATTTACCTTGTTAGGCGCCTTGAGCATCTCTTGGGTGGAACTGTGCGAATTATAAATGTTGTTATTATTATTATTATTATTATTATTGTTATTATTATTATGAGTACCGGTTATTTTCTTTTTGAATATAAAGCCTAAGTAAACGCAATTCGCATTTTCATACAAGTTATCGCGATTGAATAAGTTGTATTTGTTTAGTGAATAACTGCGTATGACCGGAACTAGTTTAAAGACAGACACAAGCAGGCTGATCACCAGGCACGTACATGTAATCGATCGAGGTAAAAAAAAGGGGTACAAAAAAAGTTCAACCGATCTTTTAGGGGGGGGCAGTCCCCCCCCCCCCCCCCCGAGGCTACAGCAGGCAGCTGCTCACGCCTAACTTCACGCATGTACAATGTAATGCTGAACTCTTCTCGACTTTAGTTAAAGATAAAGCTGATTAATTAGTAGATGCATGGCGGTATGTCAGTTACTTGAGATCGCCATGCACTGATTAGCACGCTTATATTTAGCATCCCGAATCACAACATCCCAGTGTTGCACTGCATGCATACAGCAAATTTACCGGAAGCGTTATCAGCACATGACAGATGTCAACATATGCTGACCGTAAAGTCATAAGCAAAGCTGTATTGCTCTGGTAAGAAATTTGCGAATTCTAGGTTATTTTCCTCCGATTTGAAATTGTAGTGCATCATTAGGAAAAGGAGCGCAATAGCAAACTTAAAGCCAGCTATTTTATTACTGGGCCGGTTCGTAGTGTGTGGGAAAGGGTGATTTCGGCCGGATTTCGGACGTACTGTATGTTAGGTTTGTTTACCTGCCTCTCCGCACACACATAGGAGCATCACTATCCCGGCTATGTAGTAAAAGCTGTGCTTTTGATTCTCAACATTTCAAACACCACTGTACAAAACTCAACTGATTTCACTAAAAATCGGTACTTTAGTGACCATTGATGACATCTAAATAGCAGTAAAATACATTTTTTCAACTTACTGATGGTAAAAAGAATAATTTAAAAATTCAAATTGTAAGCCTAGTATCAAATTTGCCGATCAGCCCAATCGGTCCTATTGTGTACAGTCAATGCAATATTGTGTGGTGTGTATATTTGTGTATAGGTCTAACAATACCTGCCTCACAGCAAGTATGCAGTGCTAAAGGCCAATACGCATTAGCATTGACTCTCTATGCTTTGCTTGAATGTCTCTGCGGTATAATATAGTATGACTAGCTATGGGTGTCAATACCATATTGTACTTTATCACCAAGCCTTTAAATCACCGATTTTGACCTTTGCCCTCCTCTAGCATGTTGCTTTGTGATAATGCTCTGTTGTTTGATAACCAATACGACAAGCAAATATGATGTTACATCACTTCGGTACAATATACACGAGAAGCCTATCTTGGTACCTATACCTTCACCTTGTCTCAGGCTTTACGTTCATAGAGTCTGTTTTGGGAATTAATACTCTCTGGTATCGGTCGATTACAGTTTTGCCTTTTTATTTTTTGTTCATAGAAATCAGCTCTTTGCCGGTTTTACAAGAACAAGAACAAGAGATATACATTTCTTGATCATGGGCGGTGGATCTTCTTCCCCTCGTATTCACAACGCCACTGATGAAATACTGAAGATTGTTTGTACGGACTGTTACGGCAGAGAAACGAGTCAGATTGTGAGGAAACTGGATTCGTGGCAGCCGACGATCCCATACGGCAAGATGACCATCTCGGTGTTCATCCTCGCCGACGGTGTCCCGGTGGCTGAGAAGGCAGATGCCGTCCTGAGTGCGACAAAGTCCTGCTATGATTTCACTGTTCAACTTGTGAAAGGAATGGTCAATATCACACAGGATTACAGCAAGCAGTCTAGGTATGATGATAATGATTGTGATAACAATGGTGCATGGTGATAATGATGGTGATGGTGATGATGGTGATGATGGTGATGATGATGGTGATGGTGATGATGATAATGGTGGTGATGGTGATGTTGATGGTGATTGTGATGATGATGGTGATGATGATGGTGATGGTGATGATGATGATGATAATGGTGGTGATGGTGATGTTGATGTTGATGATGATGATGATAATGGTGGTGATGGTAATGTTGATGGTGATTGTGATGATGATGACAGTGACGATGGTGAAAGATGATGATCATGAAGATGATGATGATGATGGTGATGGTGGTGATGATGATGGTGGTGGTGGTGGTTATGGTGATGTTGGTGGTGGTTTTGATGATGGTGGTGGACTGGTGGTGGTGATGATGATGATGATATAAATGGTGGTGATGGTGATGGTGATTGTGATGATGATGATGGTGGTGGTGGTGGTTATGGTGATGGTGGTGGTTTTGATGATGATGATGATGGTGATGATGATGGTGGTGATGATGATGGTGGTGAGGATGGCTATGGTGGTGATTGTGATGGTGAGGATGATGGTGGTGTATGGTAATGATGGTGGTGATGATAATGATGACAATGGTGGTGATGATGACGATTATATAGATGATAATGGTGATGATGATGATGACGATGATTTTTGGTGGTGATAATAATTCTGACAAGGTGACGATAATGATGATAATAATTAATAGTGATGATGAGGAGGATGGTGGTGGTGATGACGACGATGAAAGTGATGCTGGTGATGTTGATGGTGGTGATTGTGATGGTGGTGGTGGGGGTTATGAGATGGTGATGGTGGTGATGATGATGGTGACGGTGATGATGATGATGATGATAATGGTGGTGATGGTGATGTTGATGGTGGTGGTGGTTATGGTGATGGTGGTGTATGGTAATGATGGTGGTGATGATAATGATGATGACAATGGCGGTGATAATAATTCTGACAAGGATGGCGATGATGAAGATTAAAGTGACGATAATGATGATAATAATTAATAATGATGAGGAGGATGGTGGTGGTGATGACGACGATGATAGTGATGGTGGTGATGTTGATGATGGTGGTGATTGTGATGGTGGTGATAGTGATGGTGGTGATGTTGATGATGGTGGTGATTGTGATGGTGGTGGTGATTGTGATGATGGTGGTGGTTATGAGATGGAGGATGTAATTTATGATGATGATACTATTACTTCTACTAATATAGCTATTATTCCTACTACTGTTAATTCTACTACTCCCACTCGTACTACTACAACTACTTTTACTATTACTACTGCAACAGTCCTACTAATGCTGCTGTTGCTACTACTACTACTACTACTACTTATAATAATGGTAATGAGCCTACAATGTCCGTTTCATTAAACCAGTCGTATAGCCATAATACTGTATGAATTATTTCTATTTTTCTGTTTTTTTTTGTTGTTGTTGATAATGAAGGACATGCGGGGATGTTTCTCGCATCACAAACGCGACAGACGACACACTGAGGATTCTCTGTACTGATAAAGATGGCAGAAAGACGAGTCAGATCGTGACGTCACAGAACACGTGGCAGCCGTCCATCCAACCAGGTACTCTCACAGTGTCTGCGTCACATCTTCAAAGTGGCTTTGACGAGGACGGAGAGGGAGCAGTCTACACAGCGACATCTGTGGATAACTTTACCGTAAGACTTGTCGAAGGAAGACTCAATATTAGTCTTCAGTAAAGCAAGATAACTTTGCTTAGAAAACTGTTTTTCATCGATGTTCAAACTGGGGTATATAGAGGGCAGCACACGGGCGTGCGATACCTATTGCGAACTTTTTACGGACGGGAGCGTAATACCCGTTGGCTCAGTGTTATGACAGTAGTGATCGCCAACTTGCCTACTTCACAAACGACCGAAACCATGTAGTCGTGCGGGCCCGATTTATACCAAATTTCGATTGTCATTTAAAAATGAACATTATTATAGTTCTGTAAAATATATGTATTTACAATGTTATGTTGCAAGGTATATTTGATATTTGATGGGAATTCGAAGATTATATTATGCGTTGGTTAGATCACGTTTAGCGAGCACACAACGTACGCGTACATGATATTTCACCTTGTATGCACTGTACGTACACTGCAAATTTTCATGCAGGCAGACATCCTATGACTGTATTATGCACGGTTATTATGGTATTACGCGCAGTACTCCGAAACCGCTCCGATGTACACTTCGGGATATTAGGGACTTTTAGATTTGCACGTCAACAGCTTTGACTGCAACGTGTGACGTCATTTTAAGGCACTGCGCATGCGTTACGTCGTCTCAGTCGGCGATCGAGAATGCGTCAATCTTGATTTTCCTAAATCTAGTACATACCTACATACATATTGGTATTTATATAGCGCCTTTACATGCTCAAGGTACTAGTAGGCCGCGTGCGCATAAAATATACAGTTCCTCAGGTAGACAAAGGAACATCCCTTCCCTGCTATTATGTAAAAATATGTAGAACAGGTGTCACATGCATATTCACCTGTTCTACATATTTTTACATAATAGCAGTGAAGGGATGTTCTTTTGTTGATGAATGAGGAACTGTATATTTTGTCCTCTTTCTTTGTCCGTGATGTTCATAGTGTTGCATGCATGTATATAGTCGAGTGCAATCTAAAAGATTTCTAATTGTAGTCAACATGGGCAGTTAAGTACGTTGACACGCATGATCAGTCGGCGTTCGTCGTGTTCTCGTCCACTCAATCTAAAAGTCCCTACTATGGCGATGTCCGTGCGCTACCCTCTATGTACCAAAACATGGAATTATCTATTAAATGAAAACAAAAATAACAAATTTAGTTGTACATGTTCTGGCCCGACGTACTTAATAATCATACTAATCGTTGATCAAAGTTGCATTTTTTTTATAGATGCCATTTTATGTATAATATTAAAATGTATTTACTTGTATATTGTAGATGCTTTTGTATGTATTATATTTACAAGGATTTATTATATTCGTATTCGCACTTGTTTTCCAATTCTAAGTATGGGGATTCCTAACACTATTTATTGTTGCTATTATTTCCTTCCACGCTACAAATATGATTGGTTATTCATTCAACTTCTTTAAAAAATTCTTGTATAATTGGTTGCCAGACTACTTAATATTGAATCCTAATTAAATGCGAATACGAATTTAATAAATCCATTTAAATATAATACATACACAAGCATCTACAATACAATATACAAGTAAATACATTTTAATATTATACATAAAATGGTATCTACAAAAAAACTGCTACTTCGATCAACGATTATTATGAAGTACGTCGGGCCAGAATATGTAAAACTAATTTTTTTTTATTTTTAGAAAAATGAGCGTTCGTAACTACATTTGAACGAAAGAAGAGTATGTTGATTTCATTTGGGAGATAATTCCATGTTTTCGGGCTTCAATATCTAAAAGATTACTTTAATAGTTCAGTATTAGGTTTTGGTAAGACCACATTGATTGAGTCAGAATTGCGAGTGTTGTAACCATGTCTATCACAGAACATTTCAATATCATTACATAGTCTTAGTGGAGCATTAATATCATGTATACATCAACACATAAGCATATTATAAAGGCATCCCGTAACTTTGTCTCAGATTCTGAAACTAAATCCTGGATTTAGCTCATGCTGCAATTATTGTCAGTCAGGAACCCCATGACTTTGACAAGCCGATCGCCTGTCTGATTATACAGATATTTATGATTAGAAATTGAAACCAAATTTTGCTTTTTCCTAACTGTTTTCATATTACTACAGTCTATTGGGGAAAACGAATATGGTAAAACCGGTCACTCAAAGGTTTTTTCTACTTCTTGAGGCGCTTCTCGATCATTTTGAAGCGCGATTTTCTTTAGGGCTTCAATATTCAGTGGCGGATCCAGGGGGGGGGGGGGGGGGGGGCCCGGGGGCCCGGGCCCCCCCCCCTTGAGAAAAAATCATGTAAAATCACGTGATTTTTACCTTTTTGGGGGTTGGGCCCCCCCCCCCCCCTGGCGCTCAAGGGGGGGGGGGGGTGTGCAAATTGAAATTTTTTTGAGGATCAAAAAAACAAAATGTGCTCACTACCCCCCCCCCCCCCCCCCCCCCCCCCCCCCCCCCCCCCCCCCACTGAGCGAATTTTTGGCCGGCGCGTTTTTCAAATTTTCGGGAGCAAAAAAAAAAAATTGGGCCCCCTCCCCTAAGAAATCCTGGATCCGCGCCCGTCAATATTACACCAGATCACAGAGACTAATAACACGTAGGGTAGTGCATCTCAGATTTAACATTGTTAAACGATGCCTTTAATAAAATAATCTGTTCTAGTTTCAGAATTTTGCCATTTCAAATCTTTTAATAGTTTAGAGACGCTGATTTCGCGTGAACCAAAATGTTTAGACACTATACGAGAAGCTCTTTTCGGTATGCGATGAATATAATCACGGTATTTTAATGAACAGTTTACCCACACTGAGTATGCATAATCAATACATGGTTGAACGTTTGCTTTACAGGAAGTATTAGGGAGAAAGACGTTTAGGCCATTACTTAATCTTCGTAGTAAAACATTTATATGCAATGCTCTTACACAATTGTTTGGCGCGTTCATGCCAGGCCATCATGAAATTTATTTATTCCCGAATGTTGTAAAACTTATGTTTGTTCTTGTGTGATGTGTTTGTGTGTATAATTGGATTTTTCCAAACGTATATCGATCAGATGTGATAATTTATCTCTAGGGACCGACCTGATTAATTTTTCTAATTACAAAAATAAAAATAAAAACATACCAAGGAGGAGAAGGAGCTTTATAATGATTAAACAAAGATAAAAAGTTTGCTGGATTATTTTAAAGTTGCCTATTAACGAAATTCATATCGGCATTAAAGTAATCCAGGTACAAATTTAATAATTGGTAACTCATTTTATTTTTGTAAGTAAAATATATGTTATTACAATTTTCGAGAGAAACAAGAGAACAAATATTTAAAAGTAAAAATAAGGAAAGAAAATTTACGGAAGAACATTGCACTGTAGTATTTCATTTCCAAAATTGGGATAATTTTTTCAGAAAACAGTGACACACATAAAATTAAACACCTGTTTTGTGCCATGAATATTATGAATACTATCATTAATGTTATTGTCATTATCGTTATCATTATCACTAATTTTATTGTTACTAATAGTATTATCATTATTATTGATTCCGTAACATACATTTAGACTGGGTCGGGAAGAAGAGTGTGTGTGTGTGTGGGGGGGGGGGGGGTGCGAGTGTGATGGGAGTGGGGTGTATTAGGGACTATGTGTGTTTAAAAGACGGGGTGTCTTCTGTTTTGTTTGTTTTGTATGTTTTTGTTCTTTTGTTTAGGCTTTTGTTAAACAGTTCCCTATCGTCAGGGCTACTACTATGTTTTAGTTAAAATGTATTATTTCATGTACAAAGCATTGTTTGATTTTAGACAAAATTGTATTAAAAAGACTACGACTACGTAGGTATAATTTGAAAAAATTGTTCTTCTATGTTGCTGTGGATATATAAAAGAAAACGTATGAATTAAGTTTTGACTAATTTATGATTTAACTTATTTCACTTATCATCTGATTTAACTGATTTAACTTCGAAATGATGTAATTTGTATTTTATTTGTTTTGATTTGTACTATACTCCTGTTTGAAGAAATAAAACATTTCATACAAAAAAATAATTGTTCACTGTAATGGAGATATAAACTTCTATTTAAAGCTAAAGATGAATTCTGGTCATGCGATTGCATTGTGAAAGAAACGATGTGGAATCGATCAGAAAAGGTTAACCATCTCAGTAGCATATATACATGTAAGTATTGGTGTGTACTGCAAGGTTCTGGAATTATCAAAATGATAAGAATTCTGGCCCAGTCTTGGTAAAGTTACAAGCACTGTACACAAAAAGATGTATATGGGACTAGACGAACATGTGGCATAAACATCCGTCCTGATTTGTATGCCGTTACATGCCATATTTAGAAGATAAAGGCATTTGAAGAGCCATTATAAGGTCATGCATATAAAAAGCAAATTGAAACCTAATTATGAGTTCTTTATTTGAGCTCTATGCTCTGAAAAAAATAATCATACAAGGATATCAGTATTTAAATCATATTAGCATCGAATATTTGCATTCATATGAAAAAGAAATAAGATAATTCTGATTGAGATTTTTAAAACAAACGCTGACCAGTGTAGCTGTGGCCCTGTGAGGCATGGCTGTGAGGTGCAGTATCGAGAGGTGGGTATAAGCGCCCAGCTAAGAGGAGTGGCTATAAACAAGCCCAGCTCGTCTCTTATGAGGAGGATTATACCCAAACATACTTATCGATAATCCATACACCCTTTCAAAGTTTTCCTTCCTTCCTTACTTTACACTGCTGTTCTATCCTTTTCATCATTTTCAATGTGTAATACTAGAATATAAGAATATTTCTATTATTCATATTCTTTTCTTTTGATGGTTCTTCTATGATTATAAACGAAACGATATAGTTTCTCAAATATATATTACGTATTTGCACAATGTGTGACCGAAACAAATTTCCATTTATTCTTTTGAATTTGGATGAATAAAAAGAATTTAATTTTATTGAATTGTTTGTTAACAATCGAAAATGAAAATTAGATTTCGCGCGGTTTTGATGCAGAAGGTGTGTGGAGGTCGACTAGTGCAGGAGCCACCACTTTCAGGGCGGATCCAGTTGGCGTGGGGGCGCATGCCCTTCCCCTTTTACATCAGAAATTCTTCAGAATGTGCCATAGAGCATCGTACTTTTAAATTCACATGTGACAATCACACCAGCCCTAATCACCGATTTTGACTTTTGCCCTCCTCCAGCCTGTTGCTTTATGATAATGCTCTGTTTGATAACCAATGCGACAAGCAAATATGACGTCACAGCTCTTAGGTACACTATATACAAGCAGCATGATACAGTATACTTACATTACATCTGTGCAAAATACATATATCATATCGATATCAATTTAATAGCATTCAGCAAGACTAGAAGTGTGATAATTTACATCGAATCGCTATAGTATAAGTCACAGTACCTTTTTCGGGAACTTGATCAATTCTCTTTGGTATCGGTCGAAAAAAAAAATTGCCTTTGTTTAAGAAATCAGCTGTTTGTCAGTGGAACAAGTTCTAGCAAGGAATTATCTTCACCATGGGCAGTGAATCTTCTTCCCCTCGTATTCACAACGACACTGATGAAATATTGAAGATTGTT